CGATCGCTGGGACAATACTTTTATTCGCCTGACGTTTCGAGATCCGTCGCGGGTTCTTCATCAGAGACATAGTCAGAGAGCAGTAGCGTATACAGTTAGCGTATGCACAGGAGCTTGCAGAATTATAGGATACAGTCATTGCTGCAAACGTACAACGATAATTAACGCTAATCGCCTTCCTGCGTGTTGAAAGTTTGTTGAACAGTATGCGGGATCTGACCTGCTGAAATTTCATTACGCGTGGAGGGCTCGGACGTGATGATTGCTTGGCCATCTGACTCTCCGGTGTTGGCGTAGGATGACGTGGTGGTTTTTCCGTTCCCCATGTTGGGAGCAAAGCCACCCTCGTCGCCAACGTTGAATGCATCCAATCCATACTTGGCTTTAATGACGCTCTTTTAGTGGTGGTAGATTTCGGAGCCCATTTTCATGGCCTCAGTGAAGGACTTAGCGCCGACAGGGAGGATCATGAATTCTTGCATGACCAGTTTATTGCCAGATTGGCTTCTAGAGGACGTTGAAAGCAGGTACAGGCAAGACGACCTCCGCCTTACCAGCCACATCAGCTATGTACCGGTAGAGATGGACACCCCTCTCAGGGTCACCGGCCTTGCAAACGCAGAGAATAGCGTTCGCGCCAAGCTGGCCTTTGTTTTCCGTCCCATCCAGTTTAATCATGAACTCGTCGATCTTTTTTTGCTCCGTTACTGGAATATTCTCCCTAATTGGGGTGGGAGCAATAACTTTATTCATATTTTCAAATGCCTTCAGGACACCCTTGCCCATGTATTGGTATTTGACGCCATCACGTAACTCCACGGCCTCATGAACACCTGTAGAGGCACCGCTGGGAACGGCAGCGCGGAACACACCTTCCGTAGTCTTTAAGTCGACTTCTAGAGTCGGGTTGCCTCGACCGTCGAAGATTTGGCAAGCATAGACCGACTGAATGGACATAATTCGGATGAAGACGCGGGAATGTCTCAGACGCACGGAGGACAGGGAACAGACAAATCACCGCGTCATCCTACGCCAACGCCGGATGGCCAGATGGCCGAACAATCATCACGCCCGAGCCCACCACGCGTAATGAAAGTCCAGCAGGTCAGAGCCCGCATACTGTTTAACAAACTTTCAACACGCAGGAAGGCGATTAGCGTTAATTATCGTTGTACATTTGCAGCAATGACTGTATCCTATACAGTAGGTGACATATCTGATGAAAGGTTTAGGAGCGGGGGATTTAACA